TCTACTGCTCCCTAGTCGTCGACGACTTCCCATCCTGGTCGACGAGCTTAGCGCCTTGTCGGCCGCCGCCGATGCCACTGGCCGGCGCCACAGGCGACGCCTCACGGCTCCCCTCTTCGCTGTTGGCCGACACAAGTGTCGACGCAGATCGATCTGGAATGGGGGTGGGAGGAGCAAGAAGAGGGGGAGGTGGCAGAACCTCCACAACATCCTCATCAGCAGGCTCGTCGACCTCGGCGAGCAGGGGGGCCGTCACCGTCGAGGTGTCTGTCGGCGAGTGTGTCTGTTTTCGCCCCGACGCCGGCCCATACTTCGCCTTCCACACCTCGAGCGACAGCGTGTCATAGACGATCACCTCGACCGACGTGACCACCTTGTTGTCGGTCTGGTTGAGCACCTCCTAGCCCTTGCTTTCCGGCAACACACCCAGGTGAAGCCCCCAGCGAGCTTTCAGTGCCATCTTCCCACCGCGCTGAGGCTCGGGAACCATGAACTGTACCATGCAGCCCCACACCTGCGCCAGCGTGAGGTCGGGCTTCTTCCCGATCAGCAGCTGGTACGAAGTCGTCCCCGGTGGCGTCGTCGACCGCTCCAAGCAGTTGCGCACCCAGACAGCTTGGCGTAGAGCGAGGTGCCACCAGTGATGCTGCACGCCCATGTGCAGCAGCATTGTCCGCACGGACTCGGCGACCGTGCGCATCTCCCGCTCAGCCATGCCGTTCTGCTGCGGAGTGTAGGGGCACGTTAGGTCGTGGACGATGCCTTTCCCGTCGACGAAGTTGGTGAAATCCTTTCCGAGGAACTCCCCTCCCCGGTCTGAGCGAAGCGACAGCACCGACTTCTTCGTCTGCCGTTCCACCAGCACCAGCCACTTCTAGAACTCCCGCGGCACGTCGCTCTTCTTAGCGACCGGCATCACCCACACGAACCGAGTGTGCAAGCAGCAGGAAGTATAAGCTGCCATACTTGGCAGCCACCCGAAATGGCCCGCACAAGTCAATGTGCGCGACAGCAAGTGCCTCCTCAGCGTCCGAGCCCTTGGCGGGGAAGGTGTGCCGCGCTAGCTTTCCTCCGACGCACGAGACACACGGCGGGTCTGCTCCGGTCGACGGCTTGATGTCGAGCCCAGTAGCAACTTCGTGCTTCGCCGAGCTCTTGATCGTGTCGACGCCGACGTGTGCGAGCCTCGCATGCAGCCGGTTAGGGGTCGACTTCGTCGCCGAGACGATCGTCCGCAGAGCCACCACCTCGGTCGACGGCGACCGCGTCGAGCAGGGGCAAAGGTCCGTGCAGAGGACTCGTCCGGTGTAGCGTGCTCGACCGAGCACCTCCCCAGTCGCGGCGACGAGCAGCATCTCGTCATCGTCGCCCTGCAGCTGCACTCCGCTCTCTTTCAGTTGGCCAGCAGGCAGTAGGTTCGCATGTACGCCCGGAACGTAGAGCACGTCGGGGATGAGGACCCGCTTTCAGGCCTCACCTTGCAGAGCGACTGTACCACGACCCTCGACAGGCTGCAACGCCCCATTGAAGCCGCGCACGTGCTTCACACTGTCGCTCGGCGCCATGTCGACGAAGACCGCCTTTATCCCCATCACGTGGTGGGAGCACCCGCTGTCGAGCAGCACCGCCATTGGGTTGGCCTGCACAGCTGCCGCCACCACCTGGAAGTCCTCACCAACCTTCGGCGCCCGCGAAACTGTCGGCTCCACTATGCCGACCATCGAGCACGACGCCTCCCCGTCGCCTCGGCCCTTGCCGCTGGAGTCATCGACGACATCGTCTTCGACGTCTGCTTCTCCTCGCGCGGCTTTGCATCTCGACGGGGGCGACGACTGGCCGATCGACCGCGGCTTCCCTTGTTGTCGTCCTCGTCGTTGTCGCCGCGTTCAGGGTATTCGCAGGAGAGATGGTCGGGGTCGTGGCAGATCCAGCACTCCTGCCGTCGACCACCACCTCCTCGGCCCTTGTCCCGCGTCGACTACGTCCTTCGACGACCGCCCACCTCCGCTACCACCTCCGCCCGGCTTCCCGCGCTGCACCTGCTGACGATTCGGCTTCGTCGGTGCAGCGTAAGTCGCCAGCGGAAGGAGCTGGGTGGGCTGCTCTGCCTCCTGCATCGACTCATCTTGGAGGATGTAGCTGGTGAGGGAGTCCTCGTCGAAGGACTCACGTGTGCCGGGCACCATCGTCATCCTCTTCATGAGGTTGTAGATGCACGGCAGGCCCTTGAGACATGGGTGATGTAGGACGCCGACGAGTATTTCTCTGACCAGGCGCCTGCCATCCGCATCTCATCTCGGATCCATCGAGCACGGTTGCAATAGTCCGTCGCCGACTCCTGCTCGCCCATTCGAATGTGTGTCATCTTCTCCTCCAGCTGTCCCATGTACAGGTCGTCCTTCACCTAATACGTCGACAGGATGAAGTGCCATGCTTGGTGACCAGCATCCATTCGCTCTCGACAGCTCCTGAGTGCTAGCTGCACCACCGACGAGCAGCACCTCGAGATGACCATGAAGGTGAGCAAGTAAGCAGCACGAAATTCCCCGCGCAGCTCGACATCCTCCTCGGGCGGAATTGGCACGGTGCCGTCGGCGAAGCCTTTTAGCCAGGCGACCTCCTGCTGAGGTTCTATCGACTCCCTCCAGGTGATGAGGTCCCGTCGGCCTTGCAGCGGTGCGACCGTGATCCGGTCCGGCGAGAACTTGAAGTAGCCATACGCCGGTGCAATTCCGCCTGCCGTCACGTGCACCGTCGCCGAGAGCCCTCCACCGCTTCGTAGAGGAGAGCGACGTCGACCATCGACCTCGATTCGTGAGCTGCCTGCGGCTGCCGTTGATCGCTGTACTCGCGCCTCGCTCCTGTCGACACCACCGTCGACCTTGATCACCCCTCTCTTTTTCGTGTCTTCGCTGCTGCTGACTCGTGCACCGCCGTCGACCTCGTCGTCAACGCCACCTTCGTTTCGTACCGGTCGAGGAGAAGCAAGACGGGAAGGGTGCTCTGTCGCCCACTTCGCCCGGATGCCCAACTCGGCGATCGCCCAGGCGATCGACCCGTACTCGCCATCCTCATGACGTTTCCTCGCATCAGCCAAACGTGCCTCCAAGGTGTCCGCTACGCCCGCATTAGCTACGGGGTCGACCATGGCGACTAACGCTGCTGCCGGCCTACGAACGACTTAGTAGGTGCAAAAGTCGGCTCCTATCTGAAGGTCGCGTGTTCGATCCACGCTCACCGCACCATGCGGAGAGTCACTCTATAACGGTGGTGAGCTAGACTACGGGCGTTGGCAAAAACTACTAGGAGTGATCGTAGCTTTGTTTAGTTCCTTAGCACTTGCGCATTCACGGGAGAAATTGGCAAGAGTTTTACTAGGCAAAGATTGCATTCCAGAATGATTGAAAAAGCAATGATCGAAAAAATGACTACATGAGGCACCTAGCAACCCTGCAGCTAGCCTGGTCGACCGACAGCATAGCATGGTCGACCGCCTGCCAGCGTTGCGTAAAGGAGCCGCGCCAGCACTGCAGAAAGGCGACCTGCCAACATAGCAGGTCGACGGCGTGCCAACGCTGCAGCAGAGCAGCTGTCCAGCGTTGTCCCGTAGAAGATAGCAGTGCGCACGCTCGCAGGTGCGCGCAGACGATTGGCCCGTCTCGCCTCGTTGTGCATCCGTCGGCTGTTGTCTGCGCCTGACGAGCCACATCGACTTCGGGATACCTGCCCGAAGTCGCCTTCGCCATCGCGACCTCGACGACGTTCGCGTGCCTCCGCAGAACTCGCTGAGCAGGTTACCCGGTCGACCTGGTCGACCACCAAGTGCTCCTGGTCGACCACCAGGTGCCTCTGGTCGACCATCGGGTGTCTCTGGTCGACCACCAAGTGCCTCTGGTCAAATATGAGCTGCGCGACAATTTCGCAGCTCATATTTACGTTTTGCCTCACGTAGCCACTTCCCTCCCTCAGCGCAACAGATTCGACCGTGACTTACTCTAGTTAGTAGGTTAGTTGACGGATCTAATCAAATAGCTTGAAACTCTTACGACTAGGACAACTACATCAGTCGCGTAATAGTCGCGACCCTTTCTAGTAAACATTTCGCCACTAGTTTCCGAAGCGCAACATTACCCGTTTTTAGGGTTCCACCTCAGAGAAAATTAACCGTTAGAATGATAGATTTACTTAAAAGGTTGAGTTACTTATACGATTACGGATATATTACGGTTGCATACAGCCGTTTCTTTACTTAGCCATTCGGATCTGAAATTCCTACGCGCATTCTAAACTAGTTTAAGAGACTACCTTCAACTACTATTAACTTATGGCGCCTAAGTAAAGGGTTCCGGCCAATGGCTCAAATCCGTCAAAATCGCGACGCCGGCGATGCACCGCTTTTCGCCGGATTAGGGACGGGGCTAATCATGCTCCCGTCGCAAGACGAAGGCTTTCAAGTGCGGAGAGAGTTGCGTCAGGGGGTGAGAATGAATGTAGGAGAGGGGGGGGGTGGAGGTGAGGGAGGCGGGGAAGAGGAAAATACCTCTTCCTCTAGTTCTTCTAGTAGTGACTCGTCGGGAGAGGGAAGCGAGTCCCAGTATGAGGAGGAGGAAGAGGGGGATGGCAGGAACGAGGACGAGGAAATGGCGGACTTGGAGGAGGAGTCTCCAAGGGCGGTTCACGCGGAAGGAGTGGTGGTGCCGGTGGCGGTGGGAAAAAGCGCAAGAGTAAAGTGAGGTAAAGGGAAGGAGGGTAAAGAGAAGGCGGCCACAGAGGCGGGAGGGGTGCAGGAGGGGAAGGTGAAGAAGAGGCGGAAAGGAAAGGCCGGTAAAGAGACGTGGGTTAAGTACACCGTGGTGAAAATGTTCGACGAGGAGGCGGCGGACAAGACGCGCAAATGCAAGTGTTGCCCTACACGGATCTCATTCTAGAAAAGCAGCACGCGTTCAAGAGGGTGTCACTATAAGACGAAGCACAACGAGCACTACGCCATTTGGAAGCGGATGCATGAGGGTGGCCTAGTCCTTTCTTATGCTACATTCCCTGAGGGCGGCTATCCCGGGGTGCCCCACTTTGGCGTGGCATGGCCATACGCAGAGGCGTACCCGAATGTCCCACCTGGGGTTCTTGTGGGACCGTCTGTCGGCGAGGGGGAGGGGACGATGGAGCAGTTTATGGCGCCAAAGGTGGCGAAGGGGGAGCTGCGAGCCGCCATTGTGAAGTTTGTGGTGATGACTGACAGCTCTTTCCGCGTCGTTGGCAGTGATGCGGTAAGGATTGTTGAGATCTCTGTGTGCGTGCTTGCCTTAAACATGCTCATGGTGTTTGTTGCATGTAAGCACAATCTCCCCACACTACCCTACACCACAACCCAATACCTCTTTTTAACCTCCTGTGGCACCCCTTTTCAAACACTTGTAACGTCCCACAGTTCAAGGAAATGCTCACTGTAGCCAACCCACTCTATGCGAAGCCAAATGTCATTCCATCGTGGTGGACGGTTGTCCGTGACGTGACGAGGTACGCTGACATGGCACGGGCGCTGGCCAGGGCTGAGCTAGAGCTTGAGGAGGAGGGGGTCTTGCCATTGTTCAAGGTGTCTTTCACCACTGACATATGGTCGTCAGTGGCACGGCGCAGTTATATGGTCGTGACCGCGCACTGGATATCACGGGACTGGCAGCTTCGACAGGCCACCCTCCATTTCGGGGAGATGTCGGAGGGTCACAAAGGGACGGACATCGCGAAGCGGTTTGAGGAGGTGGTTCGAGCATGGGGATTGGTGGGGCGTTGTCATGGTATCACGACCGACAACGCCTCGAACAATGAAACAGCCATCAAGGAGCTGTCTGATGACGATGACCGCTTTCCACTAATTGGCAAGGACATGTGGTTTAAGTTGTGAATGAGCATGTGCATTTGTATGTATTGTGCATGCATGGGCATGAGCATATGCATGACGCTTGCCGCATGCGCATGTGTATGGCATGTGCATGGGTATGAGAATGTGTATCCAGCCTTTGCACGGTCTTGAGTATGTGCAGGACGTCATGCGACTGTGTGTCTCTTCAATGTTGCCAAACAGGTGCATGGCGCATATCCTAAACCTTGCAGTTCGGAAAGCGCTAGGGGTGGAGACGGTGAAGGAGGCCCTGCAGCGCATACGCGACATGGCCACATTCGTTGGCCTCTCGCCTAAGCGCATGGCGCGATTCAGGAAGGAGCTGAAGGATTCGTATCCTTCCTTGCGAGACCTTAAGTTGGTGCTAGATTGCGAGGTCCGCTGGGGGTCCACCTATGCCATCGTGGCACGGGCTCTTCGTCTTCGTCGGCCATTGAGCGCGCACTTCGCGAACGAGCAGGTTAGTGTCGGTTGTGATCTTAGGTGTTTTGCCCCGCCCCGTTCACACCCAAATTACGTGCACGGATGTCGACGTCCAAACATGTTCTTCTTTACTGCTCCGCCAGCACCAGGACCCCCCCCCACCCTTTCTCCATCTCCCTACCTTAACAACAGGGAACGATGAAGGAAGAGAAGAAGTACGCTGCTCTTCGGATAACTGATGATCATTGGGCGGCACTGGTGGCGTTGAAGGGGTTCCTAGCGCCCTTCAACGCCATCACCAAGGCGGCTGAAGGGAGTGCGTACCCCACTGTGACAACCATTGTGCCATACTACAACCTACTTCTCGACTCACTGGAGAGGATTTTGACCAATGCTTCAAACTCCCCCTCAGCCCTCCTTCGTGATCTCGTTCAGGCAGCCCTACCCGTCCTGCAGAAGTACTACGATAGAAGCACTGACGAGCTGACAGTCGCCACCTTCCTTGACCCTGGGTTGAAGCTGGCGTACTTCGCAATGGACAGTGAGCCTACAGTTGCGCAGGTGCCACAGGCGGAGGTGTTGCGCTTGGTGCGCTCGCGCTGGGAGTCATACCAGACGTCGCAGAGGTTGGCAGCGGCTAGTGTAGCACCGGCTGCCCCTGCAGTGGCTGAGAGGGCGCCCACAGTGGCTGTAGATGGGGGGGGGGAGGAGGAGGAGGACGAGGGGTTGCACTTTGCTAGTCGCTCTAGCTTGCTTGCGCGTGTTGCCGCTAGCGTGGAGGGTGGAGGGGTGGCTGGGCCGGGGGGGGACGAGATCGAGAGGTACATGCTGGAGGGGCTAGTGCATAATATCCCCCCTCTTGAGCACTGGCGTGACAAGCGCGACATGCCCGTTCTCAAGGCAATGGCCCGCGACTACCTTGCCATACCAGCTTCGTCTGCGGCCAGCGAGCGCGTGTTTTCGTCTCCTGTGAAATACGCTCAGGAGGGCGAGCATCCTGCATCTTGAATGCAGGACGAACACGAAGATGCAGGATGCTTCGCAAAAAAAAATGGCGGAATGCAGACGAACACGAATGCGATTTTGATGTGAATGCCTGTTTCGCGAGGTCGCCAAGAAGAATCGCAGAGAACTGGGAGCAATTTTGCTTTTTTTCCGAGCAAAATAGCTAGCAAACCATATTCCCCCCAGCCACCACACATTACCGCATTGCATCTTCCCCCCCCCTCCCAACCTTTTCGACCTAAACACAAATTATGGTGGACAATCAGGTCAACATTCATGGCTTTCTCTACTAGTCGACCTGGTCCTCTTTCAAAAACCCTAAAACTAGGTTTAATAATGTGTGTGGACATTCGGTGCTGATTTGAGATGTTACAACATGTTACCATGTTCAACGTGGTTGCAATGTCCCGAAACCCCCTCCCCCCTTACTGGACGATTTTTTTGGCTGCCAAGAAATTCGATTTGCGCTGCCCGGCCCAGCTTATTTTTAGCGTTCTACACAAGGATGGGTGGGCATCCAGCGTCACGATGCTAGCATCTGGACTTGTCGTTCTCCAGACAGCTTTGAAGAACGAGTAAGAACGTCGCGAGAAACAAAAGACTCGAAAATACAGTTCTGCTCGTGGCAACGTGAATCCCCCATGACTTGCCGGAGGGGGGCTCAAGTCTGATAGTGGCTGGTCAAAACCTTTGTTTCTTTGCTACCATTCGTGTTTCTGCGCGACATAATGTCACCAACTCGAACGAGGGGAACTTTGAACCACTAAGTTCTTTTCAACACATTTGCATCCCCCAACTGCATTAAATCTCACTCCCTCTACCGAATCCAACCTCTCCGATCTCTGCACCCGAAGACTTTGAGACAAATCTACACCTCTCCCTTACCCACTCTGCGGCGAAACATTTCCTGATTGGCAATCGCACCGGCAAATCTACCGTTCCCCCGCTAAGACGCGGATTTATTAAACACTCTCCATAATCCTCCATTAACATTTCCTACTTACAAGGTTACCATCTTTGACAGCAAGCCAATGTCAGAGGGGATGGAGCCGGTGAGCTGGTTGTTAGAGAGAGAACTGTCCAACACAAGAAGGCAAGACACACGTGGGGGGTGTGCAAGGAGATGGACAGAAGGGAGAGCAGGTGGGTAAGACGCTGGTAGTGGCGTGAGATTAGACATGAGCAGGAGTCAAACTGTAGAAATACCGACCTAATGTGCACAATGTGCACAAGGAGAAGCTGATTCAGAAATGCTGAAAGGTTCGAGAAGCAATAAGTAAGTACTGAATACAAGCAAAATGCGAGCAAAAATAGGCAGAAACTGAAGAGAGCTAGCTTGGAGGCAATTTGGTCTAGTCCAGGTGAGGAAATTGGCACCCAAGAGACTTGGGGTGGCCAAATGAGTGCTCAAGTTTCCCACAGTCAAGATGGGCGGGTAAATTCAACCCGACCCGGGTTTTGGCCAGGTTCGGTCACTCCTCTAGTGAGCTGGAGATAGGTGATTTCGCCCAGCGATCCAACCTCGGGTTTAGGGTTTAGGGCCGCGCTCTGCGCAGATAGGTGATTTCGCCCAGCGATCTGTGCAGATTGTTGATTTCGCCCACAGCTCCGCGCATATCGGTGATTTTGCATGCCGATCTGCACTGCAGAGATCGGCAATTTTAGAGGTCGATCTGATTTTGCCACTACTAAGTCAGGAAAGCCATGCACCCCTCGTCCCCGTCAAATTTGTTGGGACATAATATTTTAAACAATTTGTCGCCACTTACCACTCGTCATCGCAATGGATCTACAAAACCCAGCCCCCCATTCTCTTTCACCCTTTCACAGATCTCGACAACGAGCTCAGCCCATTGTCGAGTTCAGCCCCATAGCTACTACTACACTCCACCCAATGGCGAGTTGACGGCTAGTTTAGGTCCTAAGAGGCGGGCCCGATCAGATTTCTAGATAAATGACCCCCAAGCCGGGTAATTGTCGGGTCAAAACTCGATCCGACCCGGCCCGATTTCAGGAATCGGGCCATGGTCCGGCCCGGCCGGGTATACCCAGCCCGACCCAGCCAGGTCAGCGTTTTGAAAAGTTTGGACCGACCGGAGGTCGGGTCGGGTACAGGAAACCCGATTTCGCCCGTGCTCTGTGCAGATCAACGATTTCGCCCGCCGATCTGCGCATGTCCGCGATTTTGTCGGTCGATCTGTTTTCGCCACTATTTGTGAGGAAAGCCAGGCACCCCCTCCTCCCTGTAAAATTTGTTGGAATCAAAAATCCCAACCCATTCGGCGGTACTTACCACTCGTCATCACACTGGATCTACAAGACCCAAACCCACCATACAATATTCACAGCTCACGACATTGAGCTCAGCCCAAACTTGGGAATAAAAAATGAAGTTCCTAACCCTAATCGCAGACTTAGGATCCTAGTGAAAAACCAGCGAAGTATTTAGGTGCAATACCCGACCGATTAGGCACAAAGTACCCGATTCCAGGTCGGGTCAAAAGCAGGTCAAAGCCCAGCCCGACCCGACCTGATTGCAATAATCGGGTCGAGTTTAAGGCCAGGTTTACCCGGCCCGACCCGGCCGGGTCAGAGTTCTAAGAACCTTGACCCGACCCGGGGTAAAATCCCGGGCCGGGTCGGGCGCCAAATGCTCATCCCTAAGTTAGAATTCGCTCTTGCTCATCCTTGTTGCTAGGTATGGCGGAACGGTGTGGGAAGCTTTTAGGTATGGGAGGAATGGGCTTAGATGTTGTGTGCGATAGGGATGAGCAAGGGGCGAACACAAACACCCCCCCACCTTCCACAGCCCCATCACCCCTGTCCACATCCTCCAACCCCCTCCACAGCCTCCTCCAGGTCCTCCTCCTCGAGCCCCCCCCTTCCACTGACGTTCCACTTCAATCTCGATTTCCACATTTCAAACGCTTGAACATGTTCGTGTTCGACATTCGACTGTTTTAGGCGAACATGTTTGGCCCGAACAGTAAATTGTTTGAAATAGGGATGAGCAAGGGGCGAACACGAACATGTTCGTGTTCGCCCCTACACGAACACATCCGTTTGCCGAACCGAACACTGTTCGGTTCGGCGAACACTTTAAGCAAAAACACGTGTTCGTCGTTCGCCTGTGAAGGCGTGTTCGGGCGAACCTCGAACACGTTCGTGTTCGTCGCGGGGCAAATTGCAGCAGCGGCCCGAACACGAACGTGTTCGAGCGAACCTCGAACACTGTTTGGCGAACACTTTCAGCAAAAAAAACAAACCTGTTCGGTTCGCCTCGAACGTGTTCGAGGCGAACAGAACAGGTGTTCGCCCTTGTGCTCATGTCTAGTGTGCGAGCATGTTCGAGTCAAACCGAACAGGGGTTCGGGTTTGGGTTTCCTTGTGTTACTGTACCTACCTACCTAGCACCTGAAAAAAAATCCTCCATACCAATATACCTGGCTGATATGGTGAGCTTTTATGTGGGCTTATATCGCATCAAATGGTATGTGCGACTTACAGGAGATTGAGTTGAGCGAGAGCACTAACACTAGAAGGAATGCTGCCTGAAAGACAGTTCCTATAAAGAGCCCTGAGGTACAAAAAGGGAAGAAGCAGAGGCATGGCAAATAATTACTCAATCGTTGACTTGTAAGCTTAGTTGGAATAGACGGAGCCAGCGTTTTTTAGCTGTCGTTTTGACGCTACGTTTTTTACGCTGGATGGAACCCTCCAAGAGTTTGACAGCAGTTTTGACGTGGGCAGGCAAAAAAAAACCTTTCGGGCAGCAAACAAAACTGGGGGGGTGGGTCTCAGGGGCGGGAAGAAGGTAAGAGGGTAGTTGAGGGTTCGGGCAGCCAAGCATGTTGGAGTTGAGATAGCTGATGGAGGCAAGGGAGGGCAGGTGAATTGAGAGAACACGGAGGTGGAGCAACATGGCAACAAGTAACAATCGCCAGCATCAGTCCTGGGATTCAATATCCTTCATTCACAACACGTCACTGAAGTTTCTCATGCCTTACTTTCAAAATCTAAGAGACTCTGACTCGAAGCAAAACGTTGTCATCATTGAAGCAACTTCTGCACCCCAAGGATTTTTCCCAACCTTTTTAGTTTCCTGCTCTAAAATGCACTCCCGGACCGGATCCTATTCTAACCCATACGGACTTACAAATAAATTCGACATCTTGCATTGCAACCCGCACATATCCCGAACAGAAATGTTAAATTCAAAGCACATTCAACCGCACAGCATCTACATAACCCAACCACCAAGCCAATTCAACAACTCTCCAGCTGGTTTCGGTCGCCATTCTTGGATTACAGAAATATTCGACCAGAGTTAGCTTTAGGTTCCTCCTAGTGGTGCCAGATGAGTACGACAACGAGTGGGGATGGATGGAGAGTTACTCGGTTGGTTGCTCGTATATAAGGGAGGTAGGGGGGTTGGGTGCAGGATGATGGGCTTTTTTTTTAGGCAATGCATGACAATTCCTCATGAGAAAGTTTTCGGAAATTTGAAATCTCCAATTTTGGTCGGCCCATCAATCACTCCTCACTCACCTTCCAGTTACCATCCTTACCAATTCACTTTCTTTTTCCCGGTAATTCTTTTTGGCTGCCCGCCCGAGTGTCAAACTAGTGTCAACGAAAATCTGTCAGGTAGCGTCAAGCGTTTTGACGCTAGTGTAAAGACGCTTGACGACTCAATCCCAACTAACCTGGTAGTAGAGAGGGCAGTGCACCAGGCAAGCGACAACGAGAAGCACGGGTTGAGGGTGTAAGAGCAGTGGAGAAGCGGCGATTGCTGCCACAAGAGCAGCTGAGGCAAGAAGCCTCACAGATGGATCAAGTTGGTCAGTGAGCCAATGTCAGCTGGGATGGAGCCGGTGAGCGTATTGTTGTAGAGCCACCTGCACAGACAGAGAGGGGGATTTTGCGTGCGTTTGAGGGGACAAGGGGACGCACGCACGCACAAGGGGAGGGGGACGTACAGTGTACACCTTCCCCCCTCCCCC